AAATCGCGTGAAAGAGCTTTCTTTGTTATAATTTGGGTTTCGTTAAAACGTAAATAAGTAAACCGTCCCCGGATTTTTTTTTTTCGTTTAAACGTGTAGCCGTCACATCCTTCGTAAAATCGTATACCCTAGTGCTGATACAACCTTACGAACATTTTGGCCAAACGTCAGTGGGGATTCGAACCAATTTAATTTTATTGAAAGTAAAGATTAAGCGCACATGCATAGGACTCTGACTTTGAAAGTTAATTACTGTCTACAATTTGGGCGGAGTCGGCTGCCGATGGCAATTTCTGAAGGCGGGAACGGGGCGATATCTTATGAGTAGGGAAATTATATCGAACCGTTGCGAAAGTTTATAATAATTTAAAAATGCTTGTGAATACCACTTGTAAAAAGGTTAATTGGGAGCGATTTTGAACTATATACATTAAATCATTGAATTAATTAATAAAAATGTTTATTGCAAGTAAACATAAATTTCACTGTTTTTTTGTTATAATACTGCGTCCCTTTGTCGGTCAGTTATGTCCATATTACATTTTCCGATAGTTTTGAAAACTATGCGAGCAAAATTTAAAATGTGGCGGCGCGGTGTCAAACCATGAGTACTGAGCATAGCGGACGTGTGGGAATGTCAATGGGAAGTCCCCACTTGTTTGCTCTAGCGCCCTCTATCTAAATACAATTTTTCCAACATGGCGGAACGTCAGAGTCGACGACGAAAGAAGCGAGATGTAAGTGGTTATTTTTTGGACTTATGAATTAAATTGGACGATTCATGATATGGATTGAAAATACCGGTAAAGCTCGTGTTCGAACGAACTTTTGTAGAAATGAGTGTTTCACGATTCGTCAAATTGTTGCAATAAAAGTGACGTGGAACTGCGACAGCTGTTTTGTGTTTACTTTTCACCTTTTTGACAATCACTCAATCAACAAGCACTGCAGTGAAAGAAGTACAATTCGTCTGACGATCAACCCCCTCTTATGTATTCTTCATGTTGCTGATTAGAATCCTTGCTTAATCCAGTGTTCTTGAAGTGAAGATTGATGTTCTTGAAGGGTTTTAATTTGTTTACACTTACACAGTATTCAGGTACCATGTCAAGCGCAATCGGAATCTTGCGAAGTTATTGTCCTAGCTGCCTCTGTCTCTGTCTGAGTTCATATCCCTGGATGCCGGATTTCATTGAAAAGGAAATGAGCTAAGGAGGGATTACAATAAACTTGCGCAAGATTCCAGATTGCGCGCGACATCTTCATCAATTCTTTGAGATGAGTGCATTTTCAAATTATTTTCTACCAAAATTGGAAATGTTTCTCAGTCCCAGATTTATGTCTTTTCAAACATTTTTGCAGTGACTGACCTTCATTGAGATATGATGAAAAAGTGGCGTCAGGATGCGCAACATTCTTTCCCGTCACTGTAGTCAGTGTAGTGATGGTGAAATATGATCAGAATATCTGTTCAGTGAACTAGTGGGCACAATTGCAGAATACCCTGCCACTCGATCTCACCCGTAGCCGGCTACGACGGTCACGAGGTCACGGTTGATTGCCCTCAATAAACCTTCTCAGCGCTACTTGTATGTACTATGCGTCATGCTCCATTGCACTCCCACTTCGTAACCGCGTAGCCACCAACAGGGTAGTTGGTTTGGACTTAAAAATTTCAGCAACTCCCATTCCTTTTGTGTTGCTTCGTTCTCTAATAATGGACCCCCACTCAGTATCCGCGTAGCTGGCAATGGACTTGAATGTTTCTTTTCCAGTGATTCCAACTCGTAGCCAGTGATTTTAGGGTGTATTTCCGAGTGGCGGGGTATTCTGCAATTACTCCAACTAGTGAAGAAACTTCCACTGGCACTTCACCAGTGGCAGTGAAAACTAACAAGTTATATGTTATTGATGATGCACATGCATCTTAAGATGTAGCACTGTGTGCCAAACTGATAGGATTTGTCACTTTTCTGCAGTCAAAGACCATGTTTTTATGTCTTCCAGTTGTCAAAACCTGCCAACAGTTAAAATGTATGTTCTGTAATGTCAAGGACTTGATAACATGAAAGCTTTCATAAATAATGTTTGACGTTTATAGGATGGCCAAGCAAGAAACCAACCGATGAGAAACTGCCGTCGGCAAACATCTTCGCTTCACCTTGCCACTAAGACCAGTAATTTCATGGGCCATAAAGTCGAGTATTTCACAGGTATGTATAAAGGTCCTGCAGGCTTCATGAGGCCAAGTACAAAATTAACCTGGTTTCTCGTCCCCGTCTGCTTCCTTTTTTTCTGGCCGCCTTTTTTTTTTTTAATTCTACATTGTCAATATATTCTGCACATAATTGTCAATATATTGTCTTTTTATTTGTTTTCAACAAAATTGTAGCTATGTTGAAAGGATATGAATGTTTCTTTTGACACTTTGTATTCGCAAAATAATTTAGGAATCGAAGAATCCATTTGCCATCTTGGAAATCCGCCATCTCGGGGGAAAAAAGAAGGGAAAAAGCATCCACCCCCTTCATTTAAAAAAAAAACAGGCGTACGAAAAAAAAAAAATTATTCGACCTTATCTTTGTCTTCACATGTGTTAAAACCACATTTGTTTCATTGGTTTATTCAACTTCTCCTATTTAGATTGTTTGATTTGTCTAACTATTCATTCAGGATCCAAGGCCGTCGACTTGATGCTGGATTCTAAATGGGCATCAGGCAAAGGCAGTACAGAGATTCTCTTCACTGATCGTCGTCAGTGGTGCAGTACCTGGAAAAGTATACATAAAGTGTCTGTTGCCATCTTGACATTAATAAATGGAGAAAGCTTGCCTTTGCTAAATTCTCTAAATTGCTTTTGTTACGACTTAAGAACTCTCAACTAGCAAAATACTGATTGAAAATCCAAACTTTCTCTTCTGTTTTCTTCCTTTTTTAACACTATTTAAAAATATTACGTCCAGCCCTTGTGGATAAAAATAACAATAATTAAAATTATATTGGGCTGTTTCCATTTTTTAAATGATCAAATTAATATTAATTTAAAAAACAAAAACAACAAAAAACAAAAAACAAAAAACCCACTATTAAAACCTTCACATCGGACAGTTCAAAATGTACATACTGTTAAAATGTTGTGTTATTCTTTGTTTTACAATAACTGTGGGGTTTTTTTTGTTTTGTTTTTTAATAAGAATACATGTAAAAACATTTCTGTTGTGTATTACCATGCAGTATTACTATGGAAACTGCATTGTAGGTGGTCAAATGTGAAGTAAGCACTCCAGGTTTTACCAGCATCGTTAATTTGAGAATTCTACATTTCAAGTTTTCAAGTTGATATTCTTGTTGTAATTATTGCAGGCTATTGCAGAAAGGTATGTTCCATCGCGCCCTGAAGGTGGTAAAGAAGAGCAAGAAAGATGAGAAGAAAGACAAAGAAGGAAAGAAAGAGGAGAAAACTGAGAAGAGGTGAAGAAAGGAGAGGCTAAAGCCAAGAAAGAGAAAGGAGAAAAGAAGGAAAGCAAAGAGAAGTCGGAAAAAGAGACCACAGAAAAGGTAAGTTGCTCATATCTGATTGACTATGCAAAATAATCATTTAAGTGAAACAGTTACTATTGACTGGTCAATATAATCATTTAAGCAGTAAATATAATGCCATTAACTGGTTAGTGTGATTATCTTAGCCAGGTTAATATAATACTGTCGTTATAAGAAGTAACCAATCAATATATTATTGACTGGTCTGTATGCACGGTATAATTATATTGACTGGTTAAAGGGAATATACATCATTTGCTTTTGCTGTAATTTTCAGAAATGGATGGAATGGGGGTTGGAAATATGAAGCAAATATAGTTACACTGACTTTTTGAGGTTTTGGGATCGAAAATGCTATAAAAACCAAGAAAAACGATCATTTTCCTGTAGTCTGGTTCCCTGACTCCATATAAGAAGAAACAGAGCAGTTTACATACATTGGGAATTGTAAGGTCAGGGAACCAGTCTAGCTGGCTCGTACCCGTTCATAGGTTTGTAATCGATGCAAACAAGTGCAATGGTCAATGGGCCAGTATTTGAAAAAAAGCCAGTTGTTTTCAACGCTGATCGGCCGATCAGCGTTGGAAATTGATACAAAAATACCACTTTTCTTGAAAATGACAGTATACCAGGTGCCATAATTTTACAGGATGCTTTAGACTGTCATTTACCAACATCCTATAAGGAATTTCGCAAAAACTTGGTAGTTTTATTTTCGATGTTTGCAAATGTTGTATATTCCCTTTAATATAACGAAATTGACCTGTGTCTGTGAAGAGATGATTAGTCAGTATCTTCACGGTCTATAGATACTGCCTAAAAAAATTCAATAAAGTTGATTGAATAATGGTGTCTCACTATGACTGGTAATTTTATGAATTTATGGAACAGGCACTGCAGTATGGCTGCAAAGTTGATTTACCGTGTATCATTGACTATTTGATCAGGAGGAGGGGACACCCAAAGCCAAGAAGAGCAAGGAGGTCAAACGAAAGATCAAGTTGGAACCAACGGAGGATCAAGTCTTCAGAGATGGAAACGATGTGAGTCCAATCTTACCTCTTGGGCTATTTTAATGGAACAAATGGAAGCAGTTTCAAAAACCAATCAATGACATTCAACACTGAATAAACTTTGACCAGTTATCAATCTCTAAACATCGATCATTACTCAAAACAAATCTCTATACTAATTTTGTGTTTGTTGTTGTTTGTTTGTTCACTTTTTTGCAGGCTTATGTTTGGATTTACGATCCGTTAAGCCAATGTACTACGTCTATGGCTGCTGTTGGGTAAGTTAATAATGCACTACGTATTGTCAACTCTTAGCCTCCTATGCAAACATACAGTCTGCGCTAAGTTGTCCTTTCAGTCAAAACCAATCAGTGACTGTTTTCAACAGTTTAAAACTCCCAGCCTACATATAGCAGGATTGACAGACTGTGACTGTTTTTGTAAATTTATACAGTTACACTTTGACTGTAGGTGACTGATAAGCCAGCTGTGCCTACCAGTTACCTGCTTTTGTCTGTTGACTGAATTTGACTAGTCAGAGTGCTTGCTTGAATATATGACCTGACTGTTTGTGACTAGCCTGTGTAAAAGGCATGGCAGTGAAATTAAACAAATATCAGAAATGTCTCATCTGACCTTATAAAGTTTTTTTAATTACAAACAGTCTTTTACATTTCTAAACAGGCTCTGTGATTTAAAATGTTTTGATTTTCCAGGAAGTTGAAATAAATACATGTACTGATTATTATTGTTTATTATGAGTTTTGTAGTAGCGGCACTTGTGATGTTCATAAGCAATCACAAGACACCCAGTCCCAAGTCAAGTCACAAGCTATTCAAATAAACTGTGACAAGGGCGTTTCTTTGTTTTTGCTCAACTACTTACCTGTGACTCCACTTGCAAATTGACTTGTGACCAAACTTGTGATATACTTGTGATGTACTTGTGATGTACTTGTGGTCCATTAGAAATACTGTGACTAAACATTGCTTGTTATGATTGTTTTCTTAGTGGTTGGAGCCATTACTGTGTGTCTGTTTCCTCTCTGGCCGCCATGGATGAGGGCCGGCAACTTACTATGTGAGTCTGGGAGGAGCTGGCGTCGAGGAAGCGTCTTGGCGTTGGCAATAGGTAAGAATTGAAAGTCTCAATCTCATACGTCTTGAGCTAATAGGCTCAATATGGGCCAGCCTTTATCTCTGGTTTCTGTGGCATGAAAGAACTGAAATATTGCTGTTTTCGCAAGATGGGATGCCAGTCCATCACAGCTAGTTTAAAACTCCCCAGCTAATGCCGTATCCTTTGTACCCCTGGGCGAAAGGAGGCAAGTGGGGTGAAGTGTCTGCCCAAGGACACAATGTATGGCCTGCAGCTGGATTCAAACTCCTGACCCTCTGATCATGAGTCATAAACTTGTGACTTTTCTCTCCGTTTCAGTTCGTCCATCCTCTTTGTCCTCCTGTGGTCGGGCACCATGGGACGCATCCATCTCTGGATATTCCAAATCTTCTGGCCGATGTCGGATCCTAGAATCTTCCAGCCGGCCTACGAGTACACCGTCAACAAACGCAGCGCGGAATCGACCGACGACAAACCACTGAAGGAAGGATGGAGAGGAACAGGCGAAGGGGGATGAGGAGGGGATGGTAGAAGGGGCGGGGCAAGATGCGGAGGAGGTAAAGGAGGCAGGAGAAGATGAAGAAGACGAGCAAAACGACGACGACGATGACGACAATGAGAATGAAGAAGAAGATGGCAGCGGTCTCCAGCTCCAACCAAGAGAATCGGAGGAGTTTGAGATCATCGAGCCTGAGACATTTCTGCCGCATCCCAAGAAGCAGAATCGTGAAACCTTTTGGACGATAACTTATTCACGTGTCACCAGATCAGTGCTAGAAGACCCTTCATAAGTCAAAATAAGGTCGTAAAATCACCTAAACGAAAAATTGTGGGTTTAGAAATTGGCCATTTCTTTTCCTGCATGGTCATCAGAAGTTGTTTAATTATTACTGTTTAGCAGTGATTCAGAACTACTTGGCATTTTGGGCTTGAAAGTTGACTTCGAGAAGCAACAAGGAGAATAACTATTTTAGGTACTTTCCAGTTTAGAAACAGTGTGCTTATTGCCAGCACACAGTTCAGAAAAAAAAATTTGGATCAATAATTAAAAGATTTTTAGAGTGTTACAAATTGTTAGCTTCTTTACAGCTGTCTAACATTATTGAACCTTATAACACTGAGACAGTGATAAGTGTCGTATTTTATTATTTTTGAGGTTTTTATTTATTCTTAATAATGACCATGGCACAAGTCCACAAAAGTCATATTGATTTTTGAATAACGTGTATGATAAACTCAGTTAAATTTAAGGTCAACATGGCTTACAACATGCATCCAATTTGGTGGTTGGAGTCTTTTGACCATTGCTGAAAAAGCTTTCAGCATAATTTTCATCAGAAAATCCTCAACGTAGCGTAAGTTTGTAAAGATACATTATTTTCAGCAATAATATTTGAGCAATTTATTTCAAAAACGTCTGTCTCATTTGGAAGCCATGAGTAATTTTTTTTCATGCGGAGCATCACATTCTGTAAATCTTGTAAAAAATCACATATTTATGAACACATTTCTGATGTGAAGCCAGTTGATACTTCGGTAGTTGGTTCTCATGATTAAACTTTAATATTCAGTTATTCGTTAAGGGAATATACAACATTTGCAAACATCGAAAATGAAACTACCAAGTTGTTACGAAATACCTTACTAGGATGTGGTAAATGACAGTCTCAAGCATCTTGTAAATTATGGCACCTGGTGTGAAGTCATTTTCAAGAAATGGTATTTTTGCAAACATTCCAACGGTGGTCGGCCGACCAGCGTTGGAAAAACCTAACTATTTTTCAACTACTGCTCCAAATTTACATTTTTTTCAGTCCAAACTTTGTTCCTATTGGTTACATGTCATGAACGGGTGCAGGCCACCTAGACTGGTTCCCTGCCTTACAATTTTCCATCATCTATAAATGATCCATTTTATCTTTTGTGGAGTCAGGGAACCAGACTACTTGAACTTTTTGTTTTTCTTGGTTTTTCCAACCTTTTCGAACACAAAACTTCAAAACTGTCAGTGTAACAATATTTGATCTATTATACTAACTCCTCAATAGTCATTTCTGAAAATTACAGCAAAAGCCAATGATGTACATTCCTTTAAATAGCACCAAGAAGGTATTACGCTCCTTACAAAGATCTAAACACAGCAAAAAAGAGAAAGTCCACACTCATTGGATGGGCCATAATTTGAATCTGATCGTTTATGATAACGTCATTTATATAAACCTTTGGGAATGTTGTTAGCTACATTTTGATGAGTGCATACCTGTGTTCCCCAATACGTATGTCCCCAATACCGAGGTTCCCGAAATCCTTTACCCTAACCCTAATCCTAAGGATTGCGGGAACATCGGTATGGGGGAACATAGGTATTGGGGAACATCTGGTAGACCCCCATTGATACACGTTGCTACCAAAGACTGTAAATCGTCCAACATTGACAACGATTTAAGATTTATGAAATGATGCAGTTTGAAAAGTTGCAAATTTTACAATGAGTTTGGACTTTCTTTTTGGGGATTTTTTGTTGAATCATTGTGAATTTGGCAACTCAAGTTCAATACATCTTGATATATCTAAGGAATATTAGTTTGATACCTTGTTCTATGGCTGAGATTCTTTATCAGATATGTACTCTGTTAATGTTGTAAGCAGCACTTGTAGCTCAGGTGATGTTTCTTCCTAGCTGTCTAAAGCTTGATGTGTATCTTTCTAATGGTGCTTCTTTCTGCTGGTTTTTTTTTATGTCTTTTCAACTATTTCTGCACCAAGCCCGTTCTATCTTCCATCCCCACCCTTCGAAAATCTGAGATAATATTACTAAAATACTTTCAGTAAGGCTATCATTTGTTTGTCTGTTAGGATGTTGTGAAAGAGCAAGCTCGCTGATTTGAAATACAAAATACAGTGTAGAGCTTGGACTTGTTAAAAAAGACGAACATTTGAGTCATATTAACATACGTAGTTATGTTCTTATTGCAATATGCGCTGTATTAGTGGTAATTTTAATAGTCTATTTCTTGCAAAGTTGCCACAGTGCTTGTAGCTACATGTGCATGTCTATAACAATTGAAATCTATTGAAAAAATAAACATACGATGTGAAAGTAAAATAAAATCAGATTTGCTTTGTGAATTTTGCGTGTTTTTATGTTAGAATGTCTGAAAAAGTGAAAATTGTGTAATTATATTTCGATCTTAGCGTTTTGCAATCATTTATATACCCGTATGACAATGTAGTTTGGTGCGTGAATTTTTTTAATGACTTCAATGTCTTCATTGTATTAAAATATTATTTGCTGAACGCCACTATTTCGTAATATCGCCCTCTCTTGGTTGGAAACTACAGTGTACGAGCGCCCTCTTTTAACATTCATTTTATGTATAATGTTCAGTACTTTCTGTAACATGTATTTCATCCCAGTAAGTTTTTCCTAGCTGTTCGTAAATAGAAAGTGAAATCGGGATTGTAAGAACTCACGTGATTTTAAATGATCGGTTTTTATCAATTACGTCAGCAATTATCTGTGATTTCATCCTATTTTTCGGAAAAAAAAGTTATCATCTGAGGACATGAACTACACGTTCTCATAATACAGTACATGTCGTGCAGCTGTGTCCGCAATGTGAAGTAATTGGCAAGATGTGATTTTTCGAAGAAGCGAAAAGGGTCGCAAAAGACGAAGAAGTATGAAGGTTAGTTGATTTTCAACATTTATGGGGACTTGACAAGTTCCTGTATAAAAACGTACCTAAAAACTGAGATGGGTTAAGGATTTTACATCAAGAAAATAAGAGATTTACTTGTGCTTAACTTTCCTTGAACATGTTGAATGGCTTGACAAATTCTTGATGTTGTTCTTCGTTGATCATCTTGTCCCATAAATGTGACGGTAATATTGGACTACCTCTGTATTACTGTCACACATCCCACATGTGGTATTTGCACAGAAAGTCTGTTGCTAGGGGAAGCTGAACAGCAATTTGAAATTGCAATTATTTGTCACTTTATTATACTCGCACAATCAGACAATGCCGTCTAACTGCTTAATTTCAACAAAAACGTGAAATTCTGCACCTTCAGAGTCTAGTTATCTCATAATTTTGAGTTGAATTCGGACGACTTTTGCTGCATTGTTCACGAAAGCGTCCTGTTGCATGACGTCATGGGTTGTGATAATCGCGCCTTCACTAGCTTGCATCAAATTTTGATAATGGCATTGGTACGGCTGTTGCCTGTCATTCAGTTTTGGTCAAAAGTACGCCCGCATACATGCACTTTTGACCAAAAATGTATGTATTGCGATAAATGACAGAACAGAATGATTGAATGTACTTTCCTTAAACAATTTTTTTTCGTAAATTTGTTTGGACAGCATTCCTCTCCAAGACACATGACACCTTCCCCTGCTATGAGGTGGTTCAACCCGCGGCTCTTCTCCCGTCTGCCAGTCTTCTTGGTCCTCCTCGTCATCTCCAACTTTGTGACCTATCACTTGGTCTGTGTGAATCGGGAGGGGAGGGCGGGGCCATCAAACTCAGAAGCAAGGCGGATCAACAGCGGAGTCAGGAGACAGAGGTGGAATCGCTGCAGCGGCCGAGTCTTGTCAGAGTCTGAGATTCCGGGGGCAGGTGAGTTATTACTCAAATAGACTGCATCTGGGCTCAATTCCACGTAAACTCACTAGTCCGAAAATTTGGGACTCTCAATACTGTGTATGAGAGTCCCAAAACTTAAGGTACTGAAACATGCAATACAAGTAAATAGACTGGCACATGAAACAACCAGTCCACAACTCTTCAGTACTTCATTAATCAACTGTCAGCTGACTGTGCCAAAGAAATATATAGGATGTCGGGTACCATACCACTATTTCTGCACATTTCCCCTTAGTCAGGCACAGACTGATGACAATGAATGAAGAAGCCAGTCATGTCAAACAGTTGGACCTGGATGGACATGTAGAAGTCCAGTCTTTAGCCTCATTTTGAAATCACTTGACTTCCTTCTCTTGTGCAAGCTACTGCCAAATATTGAAGAAAACTCTCCTTTAAAATGGAATTGAGTTTTCAAACTTGGTTGGTGAAATACTGAGAAACTATTATTTACCCAGTAACAGTTTTGGAGAAATTTGCTGGTTAAGATGAGTAAAGTTGGCCTGATCTTTTTTTGCATCGTTTTGAGCACTTAAGGTCCCCAGTCTGGTAACTCACATTACATTTGGAGGGGGCTTCCGTCAACTCTGTGCTGTTGTTCTATAAAGCCAAAGCATTGAGGGTGGATTTTTCTCACAAAAGATCCCTTGAAACATTATTAAAAAAGGTCAACAGAAGAAACAAATGTTGCAACCTGACGCCACTTCCGCGATTGTGTACAAAGCCTATGGAGAGTCAAGAAAATTGTCCAAGTATTTCCTAACAAAATTGGAAATGTTTCTCAGTCCCAGATTCATGTCTTATCATCATTTTTGCAATGACTGACCTTCATTGAGATGATAATGAAGAAAAAATTGTCGTCAGGTTG